CTCTTTTCTTCATTTTCGGAGTCATAAGAGAAATTTAAAAAAAATGATATTCTTAGAGATGAAGCGATATAACATGAACTTTCACAAAAAAATATTTCTATAAGGAAAATTAAGATTTGGAGGTCGAGAAACGCGTGAAGATCTGTGACAATTAAAATTTAGATGCAAGAATAATCAGTATTTTAAGGAGAAGTACAAAGAATATCTTATGTGCAGAAGTGAATAAGATTTAGGTTAAACTACAACATCAAACAGAAATATAATTTTTCAATTGTAACTCTTTGTATTTTATAAAACATTATGTATTGACCAAAATACTTTCACACACTTAAATGATTGAATATTTAAAAAAGAAAGCAAAAAAAATGAATAAAAATTGTGAAATAGTTTTTGTAAAATTTCATTAAAATCATAGAATCACTAATGTTTTTTTTGCATTCACATAATTTTTGAAATAATACGAGGGAGAATAACCATTATATTTTTAATGTATTGTAAAATTTATATTTCTTATCATATGACTGTTAGTTTATGTTTTCACAATTTTAATAATACAAGAAAAAAGAGTAAATTTTTAATTAGTGCAAAAGGCCAAGGATAGAAAGAATCACATTAATGCATCATATAAAATAAAATCATATATTTCCGTTAATGTAAATTAATCTGGCGGAGAAGAATCATGATTTTTTTATATTAAAATTACAAGATCGGAAATCTAAGTTTGTTAAATAAATGCAGGGGAGAAGAATAATAAAATCACCAATGTTTTTGTCGTATGTTTTTTGAATTCAGGGGGTGAGAAGAATTATATATTTGTAATAATTTAGTAAACCTAGATTTTATGTGTGTGTGTATGTGTGAAATTTAAATGGTATATAACATAAAAAAATTAAGTTGTTTAAATATTTGATATTGTATAATAAAAAACAGTTTAAATGGACATTCAATTTAAAATATTGTCATTTGATTGTAATGATTTTGTGCATGTTTGTACACTGTTGAAATTCAAATGAGAAGCTTGCTTCATGCACATATCTTAATATGGTTACACTAGAAGGATAAACTTCAATCACTTGAATCAATTGATCGTGTGACATGTGTAGAGGTTCATAATAAAGATAAATATCCTAGATTTTATGAGTTCGTAACTCGATTATTGATGCATGATCCATGTAGCATAAATGATCCTAGATCTCTATATATGGAGAATGATAAATTTATAAAACATTTTCCCAAAAAATTTCTTGATAAGACATCGTTTGATGGGAATAACTACCTGATATACAAAAGAAGAACCTTAGAGGTCACCACAATATAATGAAAAAGAATATCGAGTTGGATAATCGAATTGTTGTGACATACAACCCACAACTCTTGATGAGGTTTCAAGATCAAACAACATTGAACATTGAAATAAATCTAATTCAATCAAATATCTCTTTAAATATGTAAATAAAGATCTA